GGTCAGAATAATTACGTTGTACCGTAAATCACATATTTTGTAAAATGGTAACTATAGACCATCAAGGACCGCGCATAGTATACCGTTCGAAAGGTATTTTTTGTAGGATTCCATATATCATACTAACAGCCATAGAGGAAGCCTCAGTTTGAATTGAAAAGCATTCAAAACGAAAAGCGAAAAATATCTCACTTCTTGTATACCGAGTTGAGGTATACCACCAAACTATGCAGCTCTTAATGTGCGGGTTATTGTAAGATATTAACTTGACCTTAAGGGTCTAAGAGAAAAAAGTTGCACAATTTGCACGGGTGGTTAATCAAATCTTACATAGGAGGGGGTGTGTTTTATACTTTCAAACGACAGATCTGTCCAAGACCTTTTTGCTGTTCAAATTTGATAAAAATTCGATATTGAGCATGTAATGGTTTTTTGTGCACCATGGCACTCTAGGGTTTGAGGATTTGAAAGGGTTAAGGTGGTCGTTATCTACTTTTGGGTCTGGAATAATTACGTTATCCCGATGACTTAACGGCTAATTTTGCGTCGCCTGAATAACCGTTGTCGGCCGGCATAGTTTTCGCCAGCATGACAGATTTCTACCGCAAAATAAACAAAAAATTTCTCAGCATGCTAGAGGTTGAGATAGAGATCTGGAACTGTCCCGGTTTTTTCACGTTCAGTCAGCTAATATATCAGCTCAGTTTAAGTCGTAAAACGTTAAAAAAAAGTTTAGTTCTGAATAGCCATTCTTTCATTTCACATCATGACAACTTCTTTGTAATCTCAAAAACATTTATTTCTCCTTTAACTAATAATCTGTCATTCGCCTCACAGTATATGGAACGACTTACGACATCAGCGTCCTTCCTAACCAAAGTGGCAGTGCTTTGTCGTAGCGGTGAGGCCCGTCTGCAGTTTGTGCATTCGCTAAATCTGCCTCAAATATTACACTGCTTAAGGTCTAACGTATTAATTCTGACCCAGAAATAGCCGTCATGTCATGGGGATAAAGGCTACCCAAGGTACAACGTAATTATTGTCATTATTCTCAACAAAGAGTAGCCATTAAGTCATCGTGATAAACGGCTACCTTAATCCTTTTCATCCTAGGTTACGCATATACGCGTATCTAATGGTCGTGCTCTTTGTACCACTTATGACATCATCAATTTAAATGTCACTAGGTATGCTTGGTAAGCAGATGGTAGAGCTAGGATAGATCTATCCGCACAATAGTCGGGTTTGGACATCGACTGAATTTTGACGTCGCAAATTGAAAAACAACGTTATCAGTTTTGGTGCAAAAATGGTGGTAAAATGGCCCATTATACCTTATTGGTACCAGGAGCCATAATTATGGCTCCTGTTGGTACTAATTTTCGCGTCGCTTTAACTTCGCGATTTTCGCAATTTAAAAAAAATCGCGAACTAAAGCGACGCGAAAAAAAATTCCCGCGAACTTTGATGTCGCGAAATTTAATACCCGCCTATATTTCTTGTTTTCTCAATTTAATGAAGAAACACAGGTCTACGTATTGTGTAGCAATAAGAAGTGTAAAATAATGATAATCTTCTCGAAATAAAATGGGTTTTTTTTGTTCATTTTCGCGAAAATTAATTCCCCAGGAAAATAATTTTGCACCCAAATCGCGAAAATAAAGACCCGCGAAATATCCCGACCTGTTTTTCGCGAAATTAGTGCCCGCGAAAATTAGCACCAATAAGGTACCTATAATTGATAAAGGTCCCATTTCCAGGCTTTGCCCATAATTAACACCCAACTTTTTACGGCAGCCAGAAAGAATATGAAACGCAAAAGATAGCGAGAGTAAAAAGGGCCCAGAAAAAGAAAAGGAAAGAGGCAAGAAAAAAAATTCGGAACAGGCAATCGCAGGAAAAGTCCAAATTTTGGCTTATGCGCATGCACAAATTGAAATATTGCACATTTTTGTATCTAATTTTCGGGAAATCTATCTTTTTGGTAAAAAATAGCTTTTTCAGCAAAACTTAGGCCCATTTAGCGTCATGGCAGCGAAAATACTGATCAACCGGTTTAAAACGGCCTTTTTTGGGAAATTTTAAAGGGTTAAAGTACTACGTAATTATTCTGATCCAAAAGTAGCGGTTATGTTATGTGGATTAAGGCTACCTTAAGGTACAACGTAAGTATTCCGACCCAAAACTAGCGTTAAGTGGTTAGGATAAGTTAACGGCAACCTTTAGGTCGGTAGTTACTTGTTGATCTAGAAAATAAGATTTTAATTTAAAGGAAATCAAAACGGCTACGTAAAATTTTGGATATATAGACAAATAAAATGACGAAATTGCTGACTATAATAGTTCCCAAACTCTAGCAAGAACTATAAATTTCCAGCAGTCTTTCCTCGTCTTGTGGTCAGGGGGTAAAGTCACTCGTCATGAAACAAGGAGGCTTGGCTACCCAGTCATTTAGGTAAGATGGCGGCCTCAGAGTACTCAGACGGTAAGGGAACTAGCGTCAACCAGTGGCTTGTGTAATTGTTCTTTTACTTGGTGATTTGACTTAAATACTATATAAGTATTATTATCAGTGACTTGGATAACCCAGCTTCACTTGGCTGTTTTAATTCCCTTCTTTGTCGTGTCTCTTAACGCCGGAAAATTAACACGGGAAATTAAAATTCCCTGGCGAAATTTGAACAATCGTTCGGTTTTTATTCGTTGGCGGAAGATTTTCATATTTTTGACATATACGTAAACTTAATGCATATCGGTGAGTAAATATCAGCAGCTGGAATGTGTAATTATTTCGAAGTTAATTCAAGGTAGATGCCAGAGACTGGAAATATAACCTTCCAGCTGAGATGGCTGCAATTACGCCGCCAGCTGTGTTGGTTTAACAGCTGGTGATGCCTAATCGACTTTATCAAATTAATAAAGATCATGATGATGATGACAATGATGATGTTGGAGAAGCTTACAACCTTCCCCTGAGTATTATCAGTACACTCATTCGCCATGTCCACATCCCCCATAATACACCCTGTTTGCCCCTCAAAATTTTGCATAAGCATTGTCTTCAGTTTCTCTTGGGATGACTCTAATACCCAGGAGAAATGGGAAACAAAGGTTATGCAGAATTTTGGGGGGCAAACGAGGTGTATTATAGGGGATGTGGAAATGGCGAATTCTAACACAAATTCTGTTGGCAGCATTGTTACTTAAGCAGGTGTTTTAAGCTCATAAAGTGTATGCTCTATGTCCTCATTTAGCCAGTCAAGGTTTCTAATAGAAAAGTAACCAACAATCATAAATTTCATAGCTTCAGGTGCACTTTTACCTGGAAATTGTACTTCCCTGGTCAGCAGAATAACACACAAGTGAGCCTGAAGAGCTCAAGCACTCTGGTTGGCCTAACCAGCGAGACAGAGATTCTCTTCTCTTTCTGCTTGGTGAGAGATGATGTGGAACTTCTGCTCGTAATCTCTCAATTTCCTATTGTGCATGTGCAAACTATGTCAGCATGTCTGATGTGCTATGGTTTGTCATGGGAAATGTTTACCGGCAATCAAATTTTTACTTGTATTTTTGTCAAATTACTTGAATTCTGACTTTTCCAATNCGTTACAAATTTAAGATGACGGCGTGACTGTTAGATTGTAACTCTCAGGTACATTCTACCCACGTTGAATATAGAAGAGCTGTCTGGTTTTGTAGCCTTAGGCTGCAAGTCCGCGCGTACAGGTTTGAGCCACACGTCATTTTAAGTCACGCGAATTTCCAGTTTGCTTGCACAATTAGAACAGGTTTAAATAGTAATTACAAAACTACAGGGTAACAGCCATTTTGCGGAAGGAAAAACGATCGAAATGTGGTTTCGTGACTGATGGAGACACCTTTAATTTGTTTGCTTTCTATGCGGCGGTCTTATCTCGCTTCCGTTCTGGTGGCTACACAATGGACATGTCAAAATCAAATCAAAGTGTCCGCGGCTTTTTGACTTCCACAATAATTCCTTTCACTGAATTCAGTCGAAACGGCAAAAATGCGTCGTATGAACCGAGATTGAGAAATTAGAACTTCTGGCTTTCCAAGGCGGTGTTAATCGTTTGTGAACATAAGATAGATAATGACATGTTGTGTATCAGGACCTCTACCATAGAACTAGCGTACACTGTGTGAAAGTATAAATATAGCAATAGTTGAACTGAGGTCAACTGAAGTCAAAATTTCAAATTCTAGAACATTCTATGTTTAGTTTATGTTTCTCTCTCCATGTACTCTCCGAGACAGAGATTCTCTTCTCTTTTTGCTCGGTTAGAAACTCTGCCCGTAACCTCTTGATATCGTGCATCTCACAGAGCAGAAATAGAAAGGAATGTCTGTCTCGCAGGGCACTCTTATTACGAAATGCAACTAGAGTGAGGCTTTCACTACTGCATGACAAATTTAAAACTTCTCTGAAGTTCTCCACTTCTTCACATTCTCATTCGCTGTAGTCTGGTCCCAGATGTTTTAGAATCGTTGCCTCTATCGACTTTGAAGGTAAGCTCGTTTAACTTAAAAGGAATCCGGCGAGCTTTCAAGCGGCAAGAGAACGCTGACCGCGATTCTACTATGACCACTTCGTTGATCCATTTTCCTTGTGTTGAAAACGAAAAAAT